ACTGAGGAACAGAGACTTACAGCAGAAGCTGTTTGCTAAGGAAGATGTCTCTTTCCAAGATGCTCTGCGAAAGGTTACAACAGAGGAAGCTGCAGGCGGAGCGGTAAAGAATCTGCGGCCCACTCGAAGCGCTCCAGAGACTGCAACCGTCCACAAGGAGGATGTGCGGGAGGACTCGGAAGAGGATCCTGAAGATGAAGTGGACAAGCTTTATCAAGCATCCGGGAGGAGGCCGAAGGATCGTCCAGACAAGGGCCCAGCTGAGCTTTGATGCTTCGGGTGAGGAGGTCGCCACAAGCAGGCAGAATGCCGGTTCCATTCCGCCATCTGCAGAGTGTGCGGCAAGAAAGGCCACATTGCAGCTGTCTGTCTGAGTCGGCAGAAGGTACAACCGAAGGAAGAATTGAATCTGAAAAGTACCAGGGTCCCCAGCCAAAACAGGGTGGGTTTCTGTGCAACACGCAGAAATATATTAAGGATAGGCACACACAAACCCCTTAAGAAGAAATTGTCCCTCAAAGTAAGGTTGCAAGGGGTTCCATTGTCTATGGAACTGGACATGGGGTCTGCCCTCTCCATAATTTCCCTCAACACATTCCAAAAAATCTGCAGCAGCAGCAGTGGCCAGCGAACTACGCTCAGGCCTTCTAATGTAATCCTTACTGACTTTCAAAATTCCAAGGTGTGCGTTAAGGGGGAGGCCACTCTTAAGGTACAGTATAAGGATTTTGAAGGTCCCTTGGATGTGTTGGTTGTTGGGGGTGAATGCACGAGTCTGATTGGACTCGATTGGTTTGAGGCCTTAGGAATCCAGGTAACAGGGCTGCACAATTTGCAAATGGAGACCATAGCAGAAGTCTGCAAGGAGTTTGCAGATGTGTTCAGCTCTGAGCTCGGATCCTACAAGGGATCTCCAGTTTCACTAAAGCTAGATCCAGCTGTACAGCCCATGAGGGTTAAACCTAGGAGAGTACCATTTGCTCTTAAGAGTAAGATTGATGCTGAACTGGACAAGTTGCTCCAGCAAGGCATATTAGAGCCTGTAGACTCTAGCCCGTGGGAAACCCCCATTGTCATGCCTTTAAAGGCAAATGGGGACATTCGTATATGTGCAGACTACAAGTGCACACTTAACAAGGCCCTACAGCAACATGCATATCCAGTACCTGTAGTGAGCCACATTTTGGCTTCCCTTAAAGAGGGAAAGATTTTTGCAAAGCTAGACCTGGCTCAAGCTTATCAACAGTTGCCTGTTGATGATGCAGCAGCAGAGGCTCATACAATTGTGACCCATAGAGGGGCTTTCAAGGTGAAGAGGTTGCAGTTTGGGGTGAATGTAGCCCCTGGCATTTTTCAGAGTGTCATGGAAAACACCCTGAGGGGTATTCCTGGTGTGTGTCCTTATTTTGATGACGTCCTCATTGCGGGGAATTCACCTCAACCTTTTGCAGAGAGGTTAAGGGCTGTTTTGCTTCGTTTCCGAAGAGCAGGCCTTAAGTTGAAAAAGGACAAGTGTAAGATTGGTGTCCATTCTACTGATTTCCTGGGGTTCGGGATAGATGCTCAGGGCATCCACCCTTCTGATGCTAAGCTCAAAGCTATTCAGCAGGCCCCTAGCCCTAAGTCTAAGGGTGAATTACAAGCCTTTTTGGGCTTATTGAATTTCTATCATGCTTTTCTGCCTCATAAAGCTGCTATAGCTGAACCCTTACACAGACTTTTAGACAAACATACCTGTTGGCAGTGGACCAAAGTCCATGAAGCCAGTTTCAATGAGGTTAAGGCCTTGCTTACATCCAATGCGGTGTTAGCTCACTTTAATGAGAAGTTACCAGTGTGCCTTGCTTGTGATGCTTCTCCCTATGGTGTGGGAGCTGTGCTTAGCCATCTGACAGCTGATGGGACTCAGGTCCCTGTGGCATATTATTCTAGGACATTGTCTGCTGGTGAGCGCAACTATGCTCAAATTGACAAGGAAGCTTTGGCTATTGTGGCTGGAATTAAAAAATTCCATGATTTTATTTATGGCCGCCATTTTACGGTCTTTACTGACCACAAGCCTTTGCTGGGGTTGTTTACCATGTCCAAACAGACCCCACACATCCTTTCCCCTCGAATGCTGCGATGGTCCATTTTTTTGTCAGCTTATGATTACACACTAGTTCACAAACCTGGAAAGGAAATGGGTCATGCTGATGGCCTAAGTAGACTGCCCTTGCCTGCTGTGGAGCCTGCTCCTGCTCCTGCCGTTCATATCCTGTCCATCCAGGATTTGCTGGAGTCTCCCCTAGGGATGTGGCTGCTGAAACTGCCACTGATTACACGCTTAAATGCGTGCTAACATGGGTGCTGTCAGGATGGCCTGACAGGTGCCCAGAGGAGGATTTCCAACGCTTCTGGGTCAAGAGGCACGAGTTGTCCACGTTCAATGGCTGCCTCCTCTGGGGTTCTAGAGTTGTGATTCCAGCCTCATTGAGGTCTAGAATCTTAGTTTGTTTACATGAGGGTCACCCTGGGATTGTCAGGATGAAAGCGCTTATGCGCAGCCATTTGTGGTGGCCTGGCATCGATAAGGCCATTGAGGCCCAGGTACATGGGTATCACGTGTGTCAGCAGTCCAGGCCGGAAATGCCTCAGGCCCCTGTTCATAGGTGGGAGGAAACACACACCCTGTGGTCTAGAATACATATAGATTACGCTGGGCCCTTTCAGGGGCAGTTCTTCCTGGTTGTTGTGGATAGCCATTCTAAGTGGCTGGAAGTTGTTTCTGTGTCATCCACTACTACTGCCAAGACCATCCAGGTGTTGAGAAGTATTTTTGCTACCCATGGTCTTCCAGATGTCTTGGTTTCGGATAATGGTCCCCAATTTATTTCTGCTGAGTTTCAGGTTTTCTTACAAGCCAACATGATTCGCCACGCAACTTCAGCTCCATTTCACCCTTCCACCAACGGTCTGGCTGAACGGATGGTCCGCATCGCCAAGGATGCTCTCAAGAAACTGACTTATGGCAACTGGCATCACAGGTTGGCTGACTTTCTTCTAGCCCATCGTACTACTCCTTGCACTGCCACAGGTAAGAGCCCGGCTGAACTCCGTTGGGGTCGCCGGCTTGTGACTAAACTTGACAGGTTACATCTGGAGCAAGTAGCTTCACAGGTGTCCCATCCACGTGCACCACGGATCCTTCACGTGGGTAATCCAGTCTGGACCAGGAATTACGGGCCTGGACACCTCTGGGTCCCTGCAGTGGTCTGCAAGGTCTCAGAGCCTTTGCCCTATGAAGTGTCTTTGGATGACGGTCGTGTACTTCGCTGCCATATTGATCAGCTGCGTGCGAGGCTGGACTCTTCTCTTCTCCCTCCTCGGCCTCCTCTGGAGGGAGGAGGAGGGGGGGAGTGCATTCTGGGGATCAGTATCAACAGCCGCCACTGGCTGTTGAGGACACCATGGGTACTCAACCCCCAAGTTCAGCAAGTGCTCCAAATAGGGATTCATGGGGCAGGGGGCAAACATACACCCCCACACTCACTCCAGCCTGGGAGTCACACCGGAGGTATCCCCACTATCCACAACTCAACAACAATACTCCAGACAGGGAGACTGACCGGGAGCATCCTCATAACTCACAGCATACAAGAGAGCTTGGGGACTTGCCTCTTTCAGCAATGGCTCACAGAAGGAAGTCCACACACATTAGGGCTAACAGGGAGGTATCTCCGAACCCTATCACTACAGAAAGGAGCCAGGGAAATTACACCCCTTCAGGGAACAAGGAGATGAGTTCAGAGGGCTCAGCCAGCTCACTAACAGGCAGATCGACCAGGTACGGGGAACAGCAAAGTCCTGGCCTCCTGAGCCTGGGAGGTGAGCAGGGAGGTCAGGCAGTAGTCATAGGGCAGCCTGAGATAAGTGGGCAGCCGCATTTTAATTCACCTAGTGTGGAAAGCAATGGAGGGGACCATTTAATCTCCACAGGTTCGAGAAGGTCGCTACGGGTAAAAGGCCTGCCAAATACCTTGCAGATTACGTGAGGTGAGCAAGGGTTAGAGGGACCTGGACAAGAGGTCCAGGTTGGTTAGTATCACAGGGAAAAAAGGAGCTTGGAGTTCATTTATTCTCAAAATGATAGCAGTACCTATGCTTTTCCACACTCTGTGCATTTGATGCAAAAGTTAGCAAACACATACTCTACAAGAGGTGGCGTACATGTTGGGCTCAGCATTGTCTTATCTAGGGGGGAGGGGTGTTGTGTCCTGAGCCTGCAGAAGCAGGCTCGGGACGCTGCAAGAGTCCCGGGCATTGCAAAAGCTGCCCGGGACCAGACTGAGCGGTGCCAGCCTTGCGCGCATGCGCAAGGAGGGAAGAGAGTGCCTGCTATTGGTTATGGTTGCCCGGGGATCTGGGAGTATAAAAGGAGGCCTGCGTGCCTCTGCTCTTGTTGGTTGGTAGTTGTGACTGAGAGAGAATAAAGATTTGTTCTGTAACATGACTTGCCTCCTTCGTCATTTATCTACGGACTTAACAAAAACCATCTGTTAAAAATAATCCCTGATTTTAGGTTCCTCCATATATTCCCACTTATGAACCACTGATCTCAATGCACAAAAAATAATGGAGGAAAAATGGCATTTAGATAGTATCCAATAAGAAAATGGAGAGCAAAAAAGAACATTTTATTCCCAGGTCTCTTGATTTTTACATGAGTTTGATAAATATGAGCTGAGTCAGGGAGGGATTTGTGTATATCTCTTTTTCTGTGTAACCTAGGTGTGGTTTTATAATGAGGATGAAGAACCTGTGGCTTTCCAAATACTAATGGAGACAAAATTCTATCCCCTGCAGCCATCAGTCAAAGACAATGGTGTTTAAAGTCTTCTAGCACCTAAAGGGATCCAATTTCTCCATCTCTACATCCTTTTACAAGGAAAATTTCCTTAAAGGTTTCTCTCCAATCCAAACCTCCTGAAGATGTGAATTATTTCTTACATGAGACTCACCACAATCTGGGTTTCATTGTCTGTCAGAGTGTCAATAGTCAAACTCCTTCCTGAAAAATCTTGGCTGATCTGTGTCCTTTTATTTTCAGGTGTGGTTTCCCGAGTCTTTTGCTCCCCAATTTGAGAATGTTCTCCAATGATAGCTCCAGGCCCCTGGGTCCAACCTTCAGGAAAAAAATAAAATTATGAATTATATATATAAATAAATAAATATGAACTATTTCTAAGAGTCAGAATAGAATAGTTCCAGGATGAGTCATCTATGGCCCTGAATCTCTTTTTGACTGGAATCTTCCAACATCATGTCACTAAAATTTGACAGTCCAAAGATACTAAGAGCCAAACTTGGGAGGACTTGATAGACTAAAAACTCTGCTTTGAATTATATCTAGAAATCTACTGAAGTCAATGCAATATCCACAATATAAGTGCAAGGGCCTGTAGCAACGCACTCATCAGCAGGCAGGTTGCTACTGTCTTCGTCAACTGTGATTTCCAAATAATCTTCAAAGGCTTCTCTGTTAAAGTACATTGCAGAAGTCTAGTCATCATGAGTTGCCCATCTCTTCTATTCCAGGCAGAGGTGCAGTAATGCACTGGCCAGACAAAGATAATGAATCCAGCAATAGCTGAGAGTCCGAGAGGACTCCCAAGTTGCAGATCTGCTCCTTTGGAAAGGCAACATCCACCCGAGTTAAAGTCACAATAGACAGGGAATCAGTGGTGGGATTCAAATATGTGATCAACCAGTTCTCTGCATGGATGCCGCTTCCGGAAGTCTGTTCTGGGCCTCAGCGGCCCAGGCCCAGAATGGACTTCTGGAAGTAGCATCCATGCAATTCCGGCAGGTCGTTCTGGGCCTGGGAGACCTCCTCCGGGTCACCGAGGCCCAGAACGGACTTCCGGAAGTGGCGTCCACACACTTCCACAGTGCCATTTTGGGCCTTGCAAAAAAAGATTAGGGCTTCAGCCGGTTCGCCAAACTCAACAAAAATTAGCTACTGGTTCTGCCGAACCGTTGCGAACTGGCTGAATCCCACCACTGCTGGGAGGGTTCTGAAGAAAAAGCAATTCCCTCTTAGTGCTCAACTTTAGCCTGTTTCATCTCATCCAGACCCCTGCAGCCTCCAGACACCAAGTCAAAAATTCTGCTTCCATAGCCCCTTTGGCCTAGTTTAGAGGTGTTAACAACAGCAAACAGATATCCTCTCTCAGTAGTTTCTTATATAGGTATTAAAATGGAAAGGTGGGAGTAGGTTTACCAGATATCTGAGCAAGCAAAGAGAGGGACAGACGATTGGAAAGGAGGACACACTAATTGTTAATTTACTTGGCATCCACAACAATAATTACAACAAAAAACATAATTAGGCCTACAAATATATGAAATTATTTTTCCAGCATTGGAAAGACAAGTTTCTCAATCACTAATATTTCTGAAGCTGAGAGGTATGTCCCATTTTTATGTAACTAAAATATCACTGTTTATCCATAACAAGGCAAGTTTGCAGAAAAACAATCTGAAGCAAATTGAACATTTCAGTGACCATGGGAAACTGGCACTGATTGATTCTTGCAGGAACTGCAGTTTACAAGTAGTCCTTGACATTCCACCACAATTGGGACTGAGACTTCTGTTGCTAAGCAAGGAGGTTGTTAAGTTAGTCATGCTTGATTTGATGACCTTTTTGTCACTGTTGTTAAATAAATTATTTCAGTTAAGTGAATCACATGCCTGTTAAGCAAATCCAATTTCCCCATTGATTTGACTTGTTGGAAATCATTTGGGAAAGTTGCAAATGGAGATTACATGATCTCAAGCTGGTGCAACTATCATAAATACATGCTTCTTTGCCAAGTGTCCAAATTTTGATCCCATGACAGGGGAATGCTACAACAGTTGTAAGTATGAAAATCGGTTGTAAGTCACTTTTTCAATGATGTCGTAACTTTGAATGTCACTAAACAAATGGTGTAAGTCAAGAACTACCAATAAATGAAAGAAGGATAGATTTAGTAGAAATGGAATCTTTTAGACAAAGGCTTTCATGATTGGTTCCAACAGTGAATGTACAAACTCCATTCCACGGTGTTGTGTTACAGCATTTTCCTGTCAGAGTCTAGCCAGCCTAACCTAGCCTAGCCGATCCCTTTTTATTTGTTATTACAGTCATAATTTCACCCAGGGTTTACTGAGTAGATCACAAATTTAACAAAATGATTTTAGAATGTGTTAATAAAATCATTTTACAACCACAAAATATTACAAATAATTAACATGAAATTGTCAAAATAATATGGGAAATATACAGTAGAACAGGCATTTAAAATCAATGCAACATTATTTAGGGTTGGAATATTTTTACTTCTTCACAGCAGCAAGAAATATGTATGTATGTATATGTGTTTGTGTATAATTCTGTCTGTCTGTCTGTCTGTCTGTCTGTCTGTCTGTCTGTCTGTCTGTCTGTCTATCTATCTATCTATCTATCTATTTTCAGTATATTTCTCCCAAAAAACAAGAAATCTAGGCTAATTCAGTGGATAAATCTGCTTTTGTTATCATTCAAATGCACCTATTTCAATGATTTCTATTAACTATGAGTGAGTCTGGATTTGATCCAGTAATTTAAAAAAAATACTGTGGGTAGGTTCATAATCATCAGTGGAGAAAAGGTCATAATCTTAATTCCTTATAAGTAATAATAATAATAAAGTTGGAAGGGACCTTGGAGGTCATCTAGTCCAACCCCCTGCTCAGGCAGGAAACCCTATACCATTTCAGACAAATGGCTGTCCAGTCTCTTCTTTAAAAATTTCCAGTGTTGGAACATTCACAGCTTCTGGAGGCAGGTTGTTCCACTGATTAATTGTTCTAACTGTCAGAAAATTTCTCCTTAGTTCTAGGTTGCTTCTCTCTTTGGTTAGTTTCCATCCGTTGCTTCTGTCCTGCCTTCAGGTGCTTTGGAGAATCACTTGACTCCCTCTTCTTTGTGGCAGCTCCTGAGATATTGGAACACTGCTATCATGTCACCCCTCGTCCTTCTCTTCATTAGACTAGACATACCCAATTCCAGCAACCGTTCCTTATATGTTTTAGCCTCCAGTCCCCTAATCATCTTTGTTGCTCTTCTCTGTACTCTTTCTAGAGTCTCAACATCTTTTTTACATCGTGGTGACAAAACTGGATGCAGTATTCCAAGTGTGGCCTTACCAAGGCATTGTAAAGTGGTATTAACACTTTACTTCAAGTGTTGGTGAAGTCTTCCATTTGCTACTAATATATTATTGGCCCTGCTAAATGGTTTTTGTGGTCACTGGCTTATTGGGAACGTGATTTTGTCCTGCCTTTTTTTTTATGCCAGTAACCTCTTTAAATCATCTAGGCACTAAGATGACACTGTAGTGGCAAATTTCAGAAGGGCAAATTCAATCAATACGACCAACAAGTTAAATATTTATACAAATCATGACAAATCTCGGTACTAAAAGACCTAAAGTACTGAAATAGTGTGTTTTAATACAACACCAAAATATTTTCAGAATGAGCGTTCTTCTTTTTGGTCCAATATTGTGACTATCTCTTGTTAACAGGAACTACATATGATAAACATCAGTCAGGAAATAGATTTTAGAGATAGGACCTCCTTGCAGAATGTGCAAAACAATCTGATAAGTGGGAAGTGCATCTGAGAAATAGAGATATTTTTTTTCACATTCACAGTTGACCTTAAGCAACTGATCCCAAACCTTGATGTATTAGCACAGGATCTATTTTCAAATAAACAATGTAAAATCAACACACAAATGATAAATCCTGATAGTCCCAAAGGTGCTTTTTCAGAAGGCAACTGAACAGCACCTTTGGGACAACCATGACCTGGATGACTAAGAATCTCCATAGATGATAAATCCTGATATATTTATAAATGCTGGATGATATTAATTAACAAAGAAAGCCAAGGGTAACTTTCAGCTTTATTCTGCATTCCTTGTTTGGTCTTTTCGATCGGCCCAAATTTGAATCCAGAAACATTTATATAGGGCATAACTAAACATATTTATTGCAAATAAGAGTTTACCGAAAACTATTGGCCAGCATTCCATAGCTGTCAGCCTTAGAAGACAGATTAAACTAAGAAACCCATACCATCTAGGTCACTATTATTTTCTTTTAACAGCTACAACAACAGGATCTTGGGAGTCCAGGAAAGGGCTTATCTGAAAGGTTTTCTCAAGTTATTCTTTTATCTGATTATTTCCTTGATAGGAAATCTTTTTCCCATCTGCCAATTCTTTGTGGTAGGTGAGACTAGGAAATCAAAGTTATGAATGTTTACGCTACTTTTAGGGATAGGGTTATAGTAACAGAATCTTGCAAGTCTAAAATATGCTTCCCACTCCATGCCTTTATCTTTAAGAAAACTACAGATGGTGAAGTCTGAGACATTTTTTCAAATTACATTTCTGCTTTGGACTCAATTTTCTTTTATCTGGCTATTGCCTCGATTGAGAGTCTTCCTCCTATTCCTCAGTGTTGTTCTTACAGCTCTTTACACTGTAAACAGACAGTAGGATTCCTCCCAGGGTGCTCTGGTATGATTCAGATCCAGTAGGTAACCATTTATACAGGGCTACCAGATCTCAGGTATGAAAACATAGCTATTCAATGGGAACAGAGAGACATTGCTACTATCTGCTGTAGTGGCCATCCAGATTTTTACAGTCCAGACCTGGCAGTTCTAAACAAGGCATCTTCTAAAAGGAGAAAATCAAAGAATGTCATCCAGCCACACCATATTATTCTGGGCTTGCTTTCTGGAAAAACATGTGCCTGTATCAGTGTACATGTGGCCAGCTTCCCTCACAAAAGCTCCATTTAGTCTTGGCTTACATGAATGGCCTAGGAAGCCAGATGTTTTCCAAGGATGTTTGGTATAATAAACACTGGGCTAGCGGAGATGATGGAAATCGGCCTTGGGCATATACTTTCCTGTTTGGGGTGGCTTATTTATTTATTTATGTCTTATAGAGAGAACACAAAGCATCTTGATGAGAATGAAATCAACATGTGCAACTCAAAATCTCTAGGGACATGTTGATTTTAAATAGCAAAGGTTTTAGGAGTAAAACATGTAATTTTAGTAAGCCAAATGACAGATTG